ATTTGAGTCCCTCGAGGATGCCAAAACCGCCGTCTTGACATGGTGTAAACAGACGAGCACAGAATTCTTTGGGGAAGGGTTAGAGAGATGGAAACACTGCCTTCAGAAGTGTAGAGACCTAGATCGAAGATATGTCAAGAAACAATAGTTTTGCGTTTTGATATTTTTGTTTAGTAAAGATTTCTCTGATTTGTAGCAATATTTTTGACTTACCCTCATAAATTGGTTCAACTACTAGGGAAAATGGTATGGCGCCTCCTAAATAAGCTAGAAGTAGAATTATCGTATGATCCAGCAATCCTACTCCTAGGCATATACCCTAGAGATCTAGTAGCAGTGACATGAATAGACATATACACAGCTATGTTCACTACAGCATTATTCACAATAGCAAAAAGATGGAAACAACCTAAGTGCCCATCAACTGATGAACAGATAAACAAATTGTGGTACATACACACAATGGAATACTATGCAGCCATAAGGAATAATGATGAGTTCTCAAAATATATTGTAACATGGATGAATCTGGAAGGCATTATGCTAAGTGAAATAAGTCAATCACAAAAGGACAAATATAGAATGATCTCACTATTATAAAAAGACAAAAATAAGTATACGTGTAGAAAGCAACATTCTTTGGTGGTTACCAGGTATGAGAGGGAGAGGGAGGGAGAATCACTTTCTAGATGGTAGACACTTGTGAGTTTTGCTGATGGGAAAGGCAATAAGGTGAAGTAAGTACAACTTGAGGAAGGTAAATGATTATACTAAGAAGTACACAAGACTAAGGGACGATTTTGTAAATGATATATACAATTTTGCAACAACAATAACAACTAAAAATATGTGTATGGTTAACATAGATAGATATATATGCATATATATGTCTAGGAAGGCACATATGACTATATGAATGCACATGTATAGGAGTATCTGTAGGCATACGTAGACAGGTGGTCCCCTACTTATGATCAGGTTTCATTCCAACAACTCTGTCGTAAGTCGGTTCTGACGTAAACCAAATTCCTCTTTCGTTTGTTTGTTTCTTTTCATTATTATTGCCTTTTATTATCAGTATCTTTGTAAATATGATCTTTGTCTTTGAACATCTGAGAATGATAACATCAGCAAATTATACGTTGCAACATTTTATGTAGTACATATTATTAATGATAAGATGTATTAAAAAAACCCAAAACAGATGGTTGTAAGTGCAGTTTGTCATAATTCGAATACATCATAATCCAGGGAATACCTGTATACACGTTTATCTGTGTTGCATATATATTCATGTATAAAATAAAGCACATAGAGGGCACACTTACGGATACTTCCTAGACATAACCAAACACCTCACAGGATTGAGTTACTGGGTTTGAGGGCTTAGGACCACAGTCTTGTGGGGTAACTTGGTCAATTGGCACACTATAGTTCATAAAGATATTGTTCTACATCCTAGTTTAGTGAGTAGCATCTGAGGTCTTAAAAGCTTGCGAACGGCCATCTAAGATACAACTATTGGTCTCTAATCGTCCAGAGCAAAAGACAAAGAAGGAAACCAAAGACTCAAAAAAAGAAACAAGTCTATAGGACTAATATTCTACATGAACCATGTCCTTGCTGATCTCGAGACCAGAAGAGCTAGGTGGTGCCTGACAACCACTACCTACAGTTCCAATCAGGGAAACAATAGATGGTCCCAGACAGAAAGGGAGAAAAATGTAAAACAAAACTCAAATCCCCCCTCAAAAAAAAAAAAAAAAAAAGCCAGTCTTACTGGAGTGGTAAAAACTAGAGGAACCACCAAGACTATTGCCCTGGGATACTGTAAAAATGGTCTGGCAGGGCATCTGACCTCTTCTAACTTCACAAGGGGGAAGGAGAATCAAGATCAACAGCCCAAGGCTGATTCCTATGAGGCAGAGGTCACACATGCCTCCAAACTTTTTACCAACTCTAACATCAACCACCATTCTCATGGCACTCTCTACTTCTGTGCTGAGTTTGATAATTTGTTGCAACAGCCACACATAACTTATAGACAATACTCACAATTATGGTGTTTATTAGGCAAGTAACAGGTTATAATTCAGGTTCAGGAAAGCTCAGGATACAGTTCTTTGATCAGGACAGCCTCTTCTCAGCTGTGCCTGCAGGCACGCCTCTCTCTGGCCCTTGGCCTCTTGGTCCCACGACCTCTCAGCTCGGTCTCTGTCTGCTTGGGCAAGTGTTACAAAGGTCTTTTAGATTTGCTGTTAAGTGCCCAGAGGCACCTGGCTCCACTAGTAAGCCTCAGCCTGAAGGCACTAAGCTCTCTTGCTCTGTGGGACAGGAAGCCCACTGTTTGGTCTCCGGCTGGTCTCCTGGTTCTGCTGCCTCTGCTGCTGCCATTTGTCTGCTTCTGCTTCCAGCTGTCTGGTGTTACAGCTCTCTCTCTGTTTCCTGGGTCTAGGAGGTCTCACAGAGATCCCAGGTCCAGTGGATGCGCTCCACTCCGAGCTCTTCTTTCTTGGTGGTAGTAGGTCCCCCTCTGCTCTGGGACGGACTGCTCTTTTAAGCCTAGCAGGATCACAAAACTGACCAATCTCCTACTTAGGGTTCCATACAACTATTTGCATAGTCCCACCCCAACAAGTATGCCATGCACCTTATTTATATTATTAGCAAGCTATCCCATCCCCTTGGTGGGCCACAAGCAACTTATTTGCATAGTCCCACCCAGTCTTTTGGTAGAGTTACAAAGACTATAGCTAGAAGGGTCTTCTTAAGGAATTCACTGCACCACAGATACGCTTTAAACTTGGAACTCAAACCACTCCCGGTGTTCACTTTTCAGCCAAATGACAGATTGGCTCATAAAATAAATAAAATCACCCATGAGTGCCGTGCTCCTCTAAATAATCATCTAAATAAAACCAAATGGTCAACATTTACCCTAGACCAAAGACGAGAAGGTAAGGTGGACAGGGAAGCTAGATTAATGGAAACAGAACAACCAGAGTGAAAATAATGAGAATGCTGACACATTGTGAAAAATGTCATCAATGTCACTGCACAGTATTTATAGAAATTGTTAAATGGGAAGCTAATTTGCTGTATAAACTTTCACCAAAAAGACAATATTTTTTTAAAAAACATGACAGTTTCAATAAATTTGGAGTTAGTCAGCCTGAGTTTACATGCCAGCTCTGCCACTTACTAGCTATGTGCCCTTGAGCAAATGACTTAACCTTTTAAGTCTCTGTTTCCCCACCTGTAAAACGTAGAATTGAAACCAGCAGATGAAATATGCAGACTGCCTGGCACTTAGTAACGGTTAGCTGTATTTATTCAGGTCTTTTTCACACTGGGTGCTGCTTCTCTGACTCCCTGACTGGTTTCATTGGCTACAGCAGCCTCTGGCCTTGGGTGAGC